GAGTGGCGGAACATGAATTAGTTTGATACTACAGATCCAAATGGAAAACTAGGAAATTCCGATGATGTTAGTTTTGCAAAAGAAGACTGCAGTGATGGAGACTTTTTGGTGATTTCTGACGATGACTCCAAACCCTATAAAGATTGAATTCTTGATATGTCTTGTACTTTTCATATGTGTTCTAATCGAGATTGATTTTCATCATATGAAATAGTTATAAGGGATTCCGTGAGGATGGAAAACAATGAACCTTGTAAAATACCTGGAACACTTGGTTTAGTGAGACATGTTCCGGGTTTAAATAGAAATTTTATCTCTTTAAGTACTATTGATTCAGAAAGTACATGTATATCGATTGAGGTAGAGTTCTGGAAGTTAGCAAGGGTCTTGGGTTGTGTTAAAGGGGCAGAAAAAGTCCCTATTATATGTTTTGGAAGGTTCGACGATCACTTTGGATGAAGCTGCAACTTATGGTTTGATAAGCGGTAACTCAGATATAGTTGATTGTGATCGGGTAGCTCATGGTGATTAGAGTAATGATATTAGAGAACCCGTCAGTAACTTGTGTGGAGCTAATTGTGATCTTGTTAATCATATTGCTCATAGGGATAATTTGAGCATGTTTTGTAACTCAGGTGGAGTTGATAGTGAATGAGATTATTCAAGCAGGTTTATGGCCTAAGGTAATTCTGCTGATAAGAAGGGCTTGGATTTTGTTCACAATTGCTGAGTATGCCCGAAGGAGTATGGTGGAAGAGGTGGATTATAACTTGTTGAGGAGTAAAGACTTAATTCTTTGCTATGAAATTTGTTTCAAGGTGGAGTTTGTTATGATATGACTCAAATTCTATGCGATCTAGAAGTTTGGTTCATGAAGGAAGTTTAGATAATTTTGGTTTGGAAGTTCGGATCGGTAAGTGATCAAATTTTATCAAGGATTGAGAGTTTGAGTAGGAAAAGAACTTTGTAATTGATGAATAAGTGTATTGAAAGCATTGGAACTGAAACTGAGCACCCAAGTGCCGACGCGCAAGAGGAAAGTAGGCTACAAGAAGTCGGCGCTGCAGCGCCAACGAACAGCTTGGAAAGTTTTCTAATTTGATTTTTATCGGGATTCTTGTGCTCTACTTCATCCAAAACACCAAGATTGGACTCCTATATATACTCAATGTGGTGTAGGCTCTTCAAAGGCTCAAGTAACAATATTGTTATATACATTAGAAACTTGAGATGATTGTTTAGAGTAGATTGAAAGTATCAAATATTGTAAAACAATTTTAATTTCTTGGTATATTGAAATTCTCTGTGCCTGCACGTGGATTTCCCGAATTTAGGTTACGTGTAAATCTTGTGTTCTTATGTGATCTATTCTTTTCATTTTACCATATTTTATTGACTTTAATATTCGTAACAAATGGTATGAGTTCTTTCATGGGGTTATTGCAAATTGACTTGTTTTACAATAGATAAGATACTTCTTATTGTTACTTAACTCTTGTTTGACCCTAATTTTTTTTTTTAAAAAAAAACTCATTTTCTACCACACATTTTATGAAACCTACAATTTTTACTAAAATTTACTAATAATCTAACTTTTAGCCAAACCAACCGGGGCTTGCAAAACTATCCAATTTTAACAAAATAAAAATATCTTTCCCATTAAGTCCTAATCTTTATACTCTTTTTTTTTCTTAATTTTAATTTAGGTAAGAAATTGTATTTGAACGTGAGAAAGTTCAGATTTTTTTCCCCCAAAAAGTTCTTATAGCTTAATACAATATTTCAAAATTGACATTAGCAACAAATTAATACAAAACATTGACTAGAGAAAAAAGAAAATGAAGACTAGTTCATGTCATTGTATATTTTGTCTCTGTGTTACCCTTCGATACAATTGCATAATTAAGAATTAACTCGTCAAATATGAAGACTAGACATCACATAATTGAAAATTGTCATACCGTATAAAGACGATATGATATACACGTCTCGTTTAGTATAAATTAATTAAAATTTATTTATTTTAAACTCATTTTTAATCATAGATTTTCTCCAAAAAATAATTTTTTTTTACGTAGATCCATAATTTTTTTCAAATTTTTAACCACAATTAAAAAAAAAAAAACTACTTTTCACAAAAATTATTTTAAAAAAATATACATCAAACGTGACCATAGATAAAGACATTGTTGTTGTATATTAATTGATTAATAAAGACAGGATGTATTAGAAAATATTAAATAAAGCAATTTATCATTATGATAATGGAACATATGGAATAAGAGAATTGGGCAGTTCAATTTTTACGAGAGAGAGAGAGAGAGAAAAAAAAATGTGAGGAATAATAGGTTGTCACATCACCGATATTTCATTAGAGTGCCTCTATTTCCATTCATATATATATATACTAGGTGCAAGCAACGTGCAATGCACGTTTGCCTAGTTTATATTTAATAGTTTTGTTTAATAATTAATCTGTTATTAATAAAGATGTAATTTTTTTGGTTAATTAAATAATTAATG